GTAAATAAATTCCTTCTTGATAGTTGGCATTCCAACGTACGGTTTTCACACTAGCCCGTGACACGATCAACATTATAGAATGATTGGTTTCCTGTATCTCTTATCGTGTTTCCATTCACGAAACATGTTATAAATATATCGCTTATCTCAATTTTATTTGAGAGGACGATGGAGAGAGTTATATGTTACTATGTAATTAAAAAAGATTTTTTAAAATTTTGATTGGTGATATCCTACGTAACAAAGTCTGTGTTTACGCTGTATTAGTATAGATTTAAACAACGTTGTTTATACTTGTGTTTATATATCCTTTTAACAATACGATGAGTAATCCCTAATAGGTATTACAATGAAGCACTAAACTATGCTAAGGTTACATACAAGGATAGGCATGAGTTGTGTAGAATATATGTTCTAATAAAGTTACAAAAATTGTTTGTTATTTTGAATTAAATGTGTTTTAAAAATATTATACCTAATTTTAAGACTGGATTCCGACATAAATATCTTTACGATTTAAGGACAAATAAAATAAATCGTATAAAAGGTGATATTTTATTTAGTATATGTATTTAATTTCTGTTGAATTGATTATAATTTATTAAATGTTTTTTTAAGGAATTACTATAAATCTAGATATCTTAAATTTCCCTTTTTTTCTTTTTTCGTTTTTTATTGTGTTTTTGTATGTTATAGTAACATATTTTGTCTCTTTACGGTCTGTAAATTCAAAGATATGTGTGAAGTCAACTAACCCGCACTTGTCCAGCGTGGTTGACTATGGCCTAATCACCCTAACTAAGGGTAGGCTCCGAGCCCTACAGTGGGGATGTATAGTTAATTTATAAACGTCCCGAGATATCGACTAACTATTACTTTTAATCACTTGACTTGTGTTTTTAATTTTCAATAACAATTTTACACTATCATGTTAAGATAAATCTTGTCTCTATGTTTTCAAATTCAAAGAAAAAGGTCAATTTCTATACGTCTTTCTGCAATGGAAACTAATTATTCTGGTGACATAACGCACTCATACTATAGTTAGCCGACTTTGCGAGGTCGAACACGTCCGTCGTTTGTTAACATTCATTACATGCCATTCGAAGGTTTACGTTCGTTACTATTCATTGCTTCTTTTAATTGTTTGATGCACTAATTCACTTTACCTGAGCTGTAATGGATACTGAAATTATGAAAATTGATACTTGAGACTCCTAAAAAACATATGTGATTTCCAAAATTTAAAAAAAAAATAAGGAAAAAGAACAAAAATATATATATCAATGAGAGCTATTGTGCCATAACCATGACAACCTCAATTTAAATCGTTTGTTACTTAAATCTTCGAATAAATCTGTTCAAGACGCGAACCGCGGACCGGTTCTGAAGGACATTTTTTGATGTAAACGACGCAACGTTTGACCTACAAGACCAGTTCTGTATGAAGAAAACTAGCATTACATATGTTTTAAATTTATTCAATGTAAATAACATTTATACTTCACTTTCACATCCAATAACATTTTACAATTAAAACTAACTAAGATGTTCGAGACAGATTTCCAGCTTACACTTTATGACCATTATCTGTAGACTAGCTTTTGCCCGCAACTCCGCTCGCGCAATATCAACAAACTTGGTAGCCTATGTCTTCTTGCAATCTATGTTCTACATCTGTACCAAATTTCATCTCAATCCGTTATCCAGTTTTGGAGATACTTGGTAACAAAAATCCATCTATCCATCTAAACGTTCGCATTTCTAATATTAGTAAGATTAACCTGAAACTTATATAAGAATATATTGCTATATTTATTTATTAAAATGAAATAGAGAAAAGAATATAGGCTTTTAAAAATGTTTTGGCAGTGAAAAACCACGGTGTTAAGATGTGAGAAAGAAAGCTTATAAATCCTGTCCTGTAACCTTGAACTAGTAATAATAAATACAAATTACATGTTAAGCTATATTATGTTAATTTTTATTACTTAATTTAATAGCTAAGAGGTATTAACATTAACATCTGGTGTTAATTATGTACATATTAACTATTTTTTCTTTGCGATATTTACTAAAGAAAGAGTAATATAATGACGAAAAAATCCCGTTTGCACAGACTAAAAATACAGATAGCTGAGATTTGTAAGTAATAAGCAAAGAAAGCAAAAAGGACCCCAAATTTCATCACGCGATTTTGAGCTAAACTATTTAACTACGTGTCTTTGACTCCAAAAATCAAATAAAAAAATGGGACCCACCTGCAAGCATTACCTTTCGGATAATTTTTTTTTTTTCAAAATCTATCTACTAGCGGCGGAGTTATGCCGTAACACCCATAAAACATACAGACGAATTGAGTACCTCGTTCTTTTGGGAAGTCGGTCAAAAATGCATTCAATTGAAAATAAAGTTATTTCACCTTCCAGACAGCTTTTCTGGATGAAACCTAATCATGTTACTCATGTCTTTACTTTATTAAGCAATTTTTCTCCAATACATTTCTACATAAAACTGTCCATGCGGAGCTATTAGTGGGAATAACTTCACGCATTAATATCTCTATTATGAAGCAGTTTGATATGTAATGGTTAACAAATAACGGGTATCGATGTTAATCTCGAAGCATGTGTTGCAACAATTTGTTTAACGTACATACAGACTGTTACACTAAGTGAACCGATCTTTGCTTGATAGCTATGGCCTGAGATATAAGCGGTAGCGGGAAAGATTTAAACAAAATTTAATTTAAAATTGTAGACGCTTTAGTTAAAATAGACTTTCGGATACGATTAAAAAGAAGTTAAAGAATAGGTTAGGTATCAACGCTATTAAATGTATTAATCCAGAATGTATTAGCTTTTTACAGTAGAAGGATCCATGGTTTAAAACCATTAAATTGTAGCATTAGAAGTTTTTTTTTTAACATTTGTTAATTAATAATGCAATTTCTACACATTCTTGAAAAGAAAACGTAACACAGCACACTTTAATTATCAAAATGTTTATATCCATTCGTAATTATTGTGAAAATAAGATGCAAAAAACTTATAACTTGTACCATAGCATGTCACCAAGTAACGGACGAACCCAAGCATCTCAGGTGATGACTGGGGCGCGATTGACAGCTTTATAGTGGTTTCAGCTATTACGATGTGCGGTAATTCTAATACAAGATACATTGCGATGTGCTCACAAATATCTGCTTTCGACATCCTTGTACTGTGCCTGGATATGGCACGAAGATTATGTTCTTGTATGGGGTCTATGTTTCGAGCTCTCATATATATATCTATACTAGTATAATAAAGCGTAAACACACACTACTTTGTGACGTAGCATGTCAGCAATCAAAGCATGTTTTTGAATATTGTTTTCCTTTAGTAAAAAGCAATACATGCATTACACTTACGACATGCTTTAGGCTATATATTTTCACGCTATTAAACTTAGGGAGACCTTAAAGAGACCATAAACTACGAGCTGCCAACATCAAGGAACTAAGGATGTCATTTATGCATTTGAATTTTGATTTTTCACAAACGTAAACAATAAAATAAAGTTTTTATAATATCATGCGGATAAAGCTGGACGAGAACAGCTAGTATTCTTATAAACTACATCTAAACAGCCTTGACTAGTCTCAATTTTTCTTATACAATGTTTAGATTTAACGAAATATTTATTGTTACAGGTAATACTGGCGACTGATTAGATAACAAATACGTAAGATTTTTTTACCAGAATTGTAAACACTAATCCATCTATCTGAGCCTATAATCGATTGTAGTAAAGGGTCTTCATCAGTGACACAAAACAAAGCATAAATATAATCGTATTATATAGTAACTAATACAGGTTAATCGAGTGCTCGTATTATGAATAAATTATCGATACAACAGCTAGAAGTGACTGTTAACATATGACATCGTTAAACGTTTTATGACGGTGTAAACACGAACTAAGCGCGGGAACTAAACAATATGGAACGTATGAAGCGTGTTACTTTAACAAGGTAATGTGCATAAGAAATTAATTAAGCCACATATATTATTCTATTATTAATTTATTTACACATGTAGGCAGAATGACGTATGACAGTAGAGCCCACAGCATTAGTTTTGGTCGGCTTTACCTTTGCAAACAAACATGAGGTAGCTATAATTCTGCGTTCAACTAATATGTGCTAGAAGCCAAATTATTTATCTTCATACAAAGTACAGTGAACATCCTCTCGTTGCTTTATACAATCGTTACTGCTAATCGCGATCTCTGGCTCAGTTGCCATTCGGACCGTGACCGTTTGAATTAGATGGCCCTAAGTAGGTGTATAGTTAGAGAATTAAATTCCCTACCCACTTAGAATTTATCTCCGCACAATCAAAACAGCTATGATGTACCAATATGTATGAATAGGTTTCGCCCTAATTACATTGTGAGCGTCACATGAATTTTTACATGGGTAGGAATTTTATGGCTTTAACTGTACTGGTCTATGACGGTTAACTTTATGACTACTTCACGACCGACATTAAACTGATACGATACAGAGAGAGTACACGAAATAACACTTTAATTTATTTTTACACAATATTCGTGTATAGGAGGCATTAAATTGCACGAGGATTTTAAAAAGATAATATAAATCCAAAATGATTAGTAACATAATAAAGTATTTAATTTTTCTGGTCCCTTTTACATGTGTACCGCTTTAGTTAAGTTATTTAAAGAGCCACAAACAAGTAATTAAAAAAAAAACGCCCGTAGTCATTAAAAATGCCACCCAAGTCGAGTTATCACAATGACAAGTCATGTTCAGGCTGCCATGAGCGATATTGCCTCGGAGAAATGAGATGCTGTTACAAATGTTCAATACAAATCATATCTGAGATTCTTCGGGTGTGGTCTTATTGGAGTTAGCGGAACGAATATTATTTTTTTATTAATATAGACACAAATATAGCAATAGTATTTATTTGTGTAATTTACTATTTTGTAAATCATACTTATTTGATATTTTTGCCATAATTATAATAAAAACGAAGTATTAAGGTACAAAATTGGATTAAAAATACTTTCAGACAATATAATCGTTACAAACAAAACACCATTTGATAAATTAAAGAAGTATAAAAGCTTAGATAAAAAAGTGCTATAGAAGAATCTTTTTAATTATTCCTTGCAGCATTTAGGTTTCTCTTCGCCTTTGGGTTCAGGACAATTGCAGTCATGCGATTCGCCAGTTTCATCAAACTTCTTTACAACAGTGACAGTTGTTGTTTCAGGAGGACAAATACAATTAAAACTTGTGCATTTAGGAATCTCACACAAACAGTCGGCGCAAGAAGTATTAGTGGATTTATCTTCTAGGATTGCCTTCCTTACTTCGATGGCAGTGTCCTCTGTGAACGCCAGAACTGGTAAACTTTCTTGTCGGACACAACAGCAGCCTTCACAAACTGTTTCTTTATTTTCCTCCTGTTTGCAGCTGCAATCAAAGCAGGGGGTAACTTTTCTATTATTGTCAATGCAAATGCAAATACACGATGCACCGCTGGGCGCAAAATTAGCCTTAGGTTTGGGTCCCTGTTTGCAATCGTTCTTACAAGTGCAATCGCTATAGCACATAATCGTACCTTTATTGTCAATACCGACGCAAATGTATGGTTTACCTCGCGTCTCGATACAAACGCAATTCTTTTTGTCGCATTTTTTGTTGTCACAACTTTTAGGCGTGGTGTCCTCTTGTCCACAGGAGCAATCATTACAAGCCTCAATTTTCCCCTTTACATTTATACCAACGCAAAGACTTTTTTCACCTTCGCAAGCAATGCAAACACAATTGCAACTGGAGCTTGAACTATCACTGGAGCTACTCTCTTCGCAAACGCACTCATCACTAGATTTACCATTCTCTTCATCATTTGTATCACACATGCAGACAATCGTTTTATTATTTATAGATAGACTTACATATCCTTTTTTGACGCACTTTTTTTTGTTGATTCCTTTTTTGGATTTTTTTTTCGAAATACACTTGCTGGTGCAGCATAATTTGTTTTCTTCATTCTTGCCCACAATAAAGCTAATAAACGGTTTTTCTTTCTTGGGAATATATTTGCGCTATTAATTGACCAGGATAAGGAGTAGATAAATGGAAAGAAAATTTACGAAACCATATTCCTTCGTTTATTCTTTAATTGATGAAAATGTTTATTTATATTTATATTTTTGACATTTACATTATTTGACATAACAGATTAAACATATAATAGATTAAAATATTTAATTACCAGACACGACAAAATAATTGCATTAAGATTTAAAAGATGCCTAAATATTTTATTTTCTGGTTCCAATACCCCTCTGTAATTCAGTTAACTGATCTTTCAGATTATTCCTCAGAAATGCACTGACAATCGTCGCATACTTTGATTTCTTCATTATCACCGACACAAACGCAGATACACGTTCTTTCTTGGGTAGGAACATATTTGCACCCGGCTTCTTTCTCCTGACATTTGCAGTCGTCGTTACACTTGATGATATTCTTCTTGTCATCAAGACATAACCAAACATTGGGTTTTCCATTAGTTTTTATACAAACGCATCCGTTCTTATCGCATTTCATTTGGCAACACTGGTTCTTGTTTCCTGGGATTTTACAGCACGGCATTTTGACGTTTGCAATCTAAAAATAAATATAAAATTAAACTTTGGTTGCTTACAGGTCTGTGTGTAAATGCAACTAAGTGATATTCACATTCAGGGTTTGGGACAAAGACTTTAAGAGCGGGCGCACACCTTTGACTTAACTATAGCACAACAATTGTACGATTGTCGGTTGTTTCGCAGCCGGTTCAACTGTTTAGTTGCACAACTAAAATTGAGGGCATCTCCATATGAGCTCATAGGAATCAAAGCGAGACTAAACAGTTTAGTAACTATAGTTTGAGGTGTGCGCAACCCGTAAAGTTTATGAAATGAAAGTATATGATGAAATATGATATAAATCCTACTATGTTAGTTACAGAATGTGATCCTTTAAGATCTTTGGAAGAGAAAACGAGCAGGAATGAAAATTACAAGTGAATCTCATAAAAATATTGAAACTATTACTTACATTGTATTTAGAAGTTAAAGGCACAAACTTTACTCTCACTTGAGCGCTTTGTAATAACACGGTTTGCGACTATCCGACTATATATTACGATAATACCCTCGTGTCGTGCGCAATGGATACGCCGAGTGCAAAACAGAGTACGGTGCCGTGCGCCGTGTCGTGTGCCGTGTGGAATTGTTGACGTACAATCGGGGAAACTGTCGGTGTTCCAAATTAAAAGCTA